TCTAAATTCTTCCTAAATCCTTCGACTTTAGGACAATTTAAATTCTTCCTAAATCCTTCGACTTTAGGACATTCTAAATTCTTCCTAAATCCTTCGACTTTAGGCCCTAACTTCGTGATCGACATGTTATGGAAAATAATTAGCGGCAAGTAATTTAGACTAATCTACTAATTTCACACTTCTATTTGTCATTTTTTCTCTTCAGCACATATTTACGGCCTTCACGAGAGTAACTGTGTATTCTCGTTGTTACAGTGACCAGCCTACAGAGCGCCTGTCGAGAAGTGATTCTACAATGCACATCTAACACTGACTGTCTACCGCTACCTAGCAAGCTGAAGGATTATCTGCGATATCAGGTCTAGATCTGTGGACTGCCAGTAAAGCGTACTAGTCTGCTTTCTGTTTGGCGCTTTCACGCGCGTCGATTTAAAAAAAATTGTGATTTTTCGAAGAAGTCGGAAAGTTTCGTTGCCGCGTGTTCGCAACGTGACCAATATATGTGTGACTCGTACTTGTCTGCGGAGTAAAAACGACCTAGATGGTAGTTTATTCGAGTTTTGTGTTTTTGCGACACGAATGCGTTTACACACTTTGTTTCGTGCTGTTTTGCGAGGTAATGCAAACAGTATTCCTATTCACAGTAGCAGCTGAAGTGCTGAATTAATAAGGTTTAACTCACAGTAATAGTGCAGGATGCGTTTGGGAAATGTGGAATGAAGGTTCATCAGAATTGCAAACAGATTTGTGTATGACGGGGAAACCTGTTATGCTGTTCTGGAATAAAGCCAATTATCTAACGCCGGCGAAACACCGTGTTACTCTGTTACGGCACAACACACCGACTGCAACTACACTGTAACTATACCAGTAGTTACTACTTATAGTATGCTGATCCTTAACTATACGTATTACTAATACAGAAATATATTCTGTGCGCTAGTTCTTTGACACGTTTGCATTTCTAAGGCTGTTAGCACTGTCACACACTAAACCTTTGATCGCTAGTGAGCATTTATGAACCCGCCCCGTGTTTTTCTCAATCCGAAATTTCAGTTTATCTCATTGGGTTATCTCATTATGTTTCTACTAGCGTTTTTTCTGCATCTCAGGAACTGGTTTGGGGTACATTCGTCCACTGTCAGGCAATGTATGATCGAAATGCATCGGATTTTAACCACGGGCCTGAAAATGGGTTTAATGAGGTCGTACGTTATGAGGAGTGTTCTGCTATTGTACCATTTATGCTAGGCGTAATTATGGTAAATTTAGTATCGTATGCTCACGGTGTGATATGGAAAGTGTGAGAGTGATGGTTATAACTCGGTATTTTGTTAACCGGTGAGATATGTTTGGTACAGAATTGTAGGTTGTTGAGATTGGCATTACCTTGTTGAGTGAGATGTGAGTCTGTGTCCATGCCATCAACACAGAGCTGCTGTCTACACAGCCCTAGGAGCGACGTTGCGCGTATGATGTGTGTAATACTGGAATTTGTACATATATGCCTGCCTGTAAATAGCTTTGATTCTCCCTATATATTCAAGGATTAATTTGAAGAAAAATTGATTGAGCTCTACGATGGCATTCATGCCCTGTTTCTTGCAGCGTGTGTTTGTGCGTGCGTGCATGGGCGTCCGTGCATGCGTTCGTTCGTACGTGCGTGTGTGCGTGCGTGCGTGCGTGCGTGCGTGCGTGCGTGCGTGTGTGCGTGCGTGTGCGTGTATGCAAGAGTCGTGTTGTCTTGTTGTGTATGTGATGTTGTTTTCCTCCTTGACGATGACGATATATCGTCTTCGGGGGAATGCGAACTTACGCTGCAAAGGCAGCGAGCGAGCGCTGTGTCTCTGTGTGTGTTTGTCATCGTGTTATTTTCCGTCTATTCAGTGATTTTACAGCATAATCGTGGCAGCGGATTGCAGTTTGCGTCAGGTAATTTTCGTTGATAAGACTGGCGATGGAAAAAAAACAACGCGTTGTGTACGTTTTTTTTCGGTCGTGAAGATTTTAGCATTTTGCGTGAGCTGCACGAAATGCGGCAGTCGGCGTGATCACGTGACTGGCTGCACCTTCAGTAGTTAGACCATGTGCATCCCTGTGTGTAAATGGTGGCGCGTTGAATCCAGCATGATATAACCTGCCTGAATACTCGGACTAATGCCAGTATGGACCATTGTAACCACGCACTCGTGTGTAGTACTGTACTGAATGTACGTTGGTGCATTTTGTAAACCAATAGATATAGTCGTTGTTCTATGTATGGCCTGGTATGTGTATATAGAAGGTCTGGTGGTGTTTAGTTGCTGCTTCTGAAATTCTAACTCCCTGGAATTTTTTCCGAGCCAGTTCTAGAAAAAGTTGTTCTAAATGCGGTTGCCAAAGTATGAAGTTAACTAAGAAATCTTGTACTGTAAACTGAAGTTTAAGAACTGAACCGTATCTCCGGGGGCGGATCCAGAAGGGGGGGTCGAGGGGGTCCGGACCCCCCCTTTTTACCACAAAAAAGGGAAAAAAGCATACACGCGCACGCACGCACGCACGCGCGTTATAAAAACCTAGAAATTGGCAAAGAGGGGTCCGCAGGCGTCCGGGGGACCGGATCTGCAAAAATTTTTGCATTCTAGACATCAAAATTACTGCTCAGATGCTCTCAGAATGCACCAATTTTGTTTAAAAAATATTGGGGGAGGTCCCCCAAACCCCCCTAAGTGGCCTTCGTCAGCTTTTTAAAACACCAGAAAAGGCAAGCAGGAAAAAGTCCCCTTTATTTCTTCCTGGACACCCCCTTTTCAAAAATCCTGGATCCGCCCCTGGTATCTTAAGTGCGCTAACGGGAGTTCTCTGGCAACGTGTCATCACACAAACAGGTGAACATGCATTTATGTGAAGGCGGTTTGTCGATTCGACACAAATAAATGACAGCAACATGCTTTTCTATAGCTATCGCCTAGTTGATCAGAGAAGTTGCTGCAAGATAATGTAAGCCCCAAATGGATATAACCAAGAGCGTATAAAGAAGGCTTCTTTATACGCTCTTGATTTAACCTGTCTATGCGTGGTCACAATATTATCATAGTTTCCGTGTGTAACTTCGCTCCGTTTATACAAAGCCGTTTATTTTACCCTATCGTTTTTCGATGGTGATCGATTTTAACTTATCTGGGTGTAGAGTTCCTCGAATAGATTGATGGAATCGGTTCGTGTTTCTCGCTCGATCTTCTTGTTTTATTCCTGATGCGTGCAGGAATATCCGTGTAAATGGCATTACAGCATCGTCGCGTATTTCTGACGGACCGTGTGAGCGTTTCGGTGACATAATAAACAAACACAATCTAATGCTGTCGAGTTTCGTATTTCATTCGTTGGAAAGTCAAGAATACTTGTTGCTTAATTGTAGCATATTGTACGATTCGTCTGTTTATTGATTTCTTTGAAATCGATAGTTCTGCACAATTATAATGATCACACCTGTGTTTGTATAGGGAGTCATTTTCCATATTTCATATTCATAAAAAATATTTGTAACAGTAACACACTAGCAATAGCAAAGAGCCAAGACTTTCCAAATTGCTCATGACGTGTCAACATTATCGTGCATTTATCGTCTCTCTCTCTCTCTCTCTCTCTCTCTCTCTCTCTCTCTCTCTCTCTCTCTCTCTCTCTCTCTCTCTCT